AGAGAGAGAGAGAGAGAGAGAGAGAGAGAGAGAGAGAATACCCAACAATACAAGTGGTATATCTTTATCCAACTCTTGAAACACGTTCTTTAAGTCTGCGATCTGTTTGGCCCGTCGGGGCTCTCGTCCCGGGAAGTCGTCGACCAAATCGCCGCAAATGACCACAAACTTGGGCTTCGGTTGCATAGCATTCCACTCACTGATGGCCTGTCGGGTGAGTGCTATCTCTTCCCACCACTGGCCGTCTGTTTTGTTTTGCAAAGACCTCTCAATCATACCGAACTGTGGGTCCGCTCCCTGTATAAAGTGGTACGACTTTTTCCACTCTAAGTTTTTCTCTAGATCAATTTAACATAATAAACGAATAGAATCATGCATTTAATCTATAGTATTTTGTTAACCAGTGGTTATCCACTAAATTCAAATTGATTTTTAGTTTTAACAAAATTTATTTAACAAATTAATTGTATTTTACGTTTAACCAATTCTAACTCGTGATTGTCAAAGTTTAATTGAGATGTAATTATTTACAACAACATTTCATAACATATGTGCTAGATTAATCAATATAACGATCTAGATACAACAAAATTATATTTTAAAATTACCTTTTTCAAAACCCACATAAGTTCTATTTACTGCACGTGTGAACCGATTGACTTCAAAGACCGGTTGTTGGTTACACTGTACATGGATTATGTAGCATGCGAATATAATTAAATATGTAAATTCCATGATAATTGCAATTTAGATGCTAACGACTATGCTAATATAAAAGCACTTAAATGAAATATGATCTAGTCTAATATAATTACAAGTTGATTTTACTAAAAACAATTACGTTCGTGTTATGATATTTTAATAGTTCTGCATCTCTAGTAATAGTCTCCATAAACTATAATTAAAGACATTCATAAGTTATCAAATTTAATGTAATTTAATTTATTGTTTATAATTGCAAAACCCGATTCACAATCCGAAAAGAATGTAACGTGCTTTTCAAACAAAATTGCCGCCAATTCACCATTATAAAAAAATGTTATATTAATTTATACTAATTCACATAGATGTCTCTATTATATAAATACTTAAACAAACCTAGCACCAATAAATATTACATAATTACAACAAAATAATAACCAACCATGATTTAAGCAAATGAACTAAATTAATAATTAAAAACCAAATTCACCAAACTGAATTATCAAACATAAACTAACATTAATCAATTCTAGTGTACATCAGATAAGAGCGCTATATATCAGACACACTGTATTAACTTTCATAACACAATTGTATAGTAGAGGTACAGTATATGCGACACAAATAAACACAGCGTAAGTATACAGCGGTAGAGCCGGACTCACAGGCGCTTTGTTGTCAAAAACACACACACAGTCTGTCTTGCATTAAACGTAACCACACATACTATCCATAAACAACGTGCTCATAAACTCCATGGGGCGGGAGACTAACAAAAACAGGTAAAACATCAATAACTCTATGCCTAAACAATAATACAGAAGAAAAGGGGGCAATAAAGGGGTCTATAGATAGTTGACGTAACTTACGAACAATAAGTATATTTATTGACCAAAACAAAAACACCATATTTATAACGAGAAGGTCATTATATAATTATTGACTCATATTATAAACTCACTTTAATTAAGTAATAATAAGTGAAATTAGTTAATAACAATAATAATCGCCTACAATAGCAATGTCGCGCTCGTACGGAGGCCGGGAGTCGTGTCCGTTGGACTGCAAGGTATACGTGGGTGAGTTGGGTAATAACGGCACCCGACACGAGTTGGAGGACGCGTTCGGCTATTACGGGCCCCTCAAAGAGGTCAGTCACTCACTCACTCAACATTACACCCCCTTTCACTCCCCCTCCCTTGCCCTGAATGCTTTTGTTTAACCCCAACCCCCTTCCCCCCCCCATTCACCCCTTGTACCTTAACTAGTATTTTAATCTAGAACGTTATTGGTTAGCATTACTATTATTATTTTGCTAACACTAACTTGTAATATGATTAACATGTTTAATTTGGTTTGTTTGTGTGCGCACAGGTATGGGTGGCCCGAAACCCGCCGGGCTTTGCGTTCGTCATGTTTAACGACTCGCGCGACGCCAGGGATGCGGTGCGCGGTATGGATGGAAAGTATGTGTAGACAGTAGTATAGCTGTTTAGTAGTGGTCATACCCTACCACACCCTTACTATGTGTGTGTGGGGGTAGAGAGAGAGAGAAAGAGAGAGAGAGAGAGAGAGAATAGATATATGATGAAAAAATGAGATACCCAACAGCACAAGCGGTATATCTTTATCTAACGTTTGAAACACTTGCTTAAAATCTGCGATCTGTTTGGCCCGTCGGGGCTCTTTGCCCGGCAAGTCGTCGACCAAATCGCCGCAAATGACCACAAACTTGGGCTTCGGTTGCATAGCATTCCACTCACTGATGGCCTGTCGGGTGAGTGCTATCTCTTCCCACCACTGGCCGTCCGTTTTGTTTTGCAAATACGTCTCAATCATACCGAACTGTGTGTCCGCTCCCTGTATAAAGTGGAACGACTTTTTCCATTCTATGTTTTTCTCTAGATCAATTTAAAAATAAAACAGAATAAACAAATAGAATCATGTATTTATAAGTAAATTAAATTATAAGTAAATAAAGTAATTTATATATAAGTTATAATATCTATAAGTATTTAGACAGTATTGTTAACTAGTGTTAACTATCCACTAAATTCAACTTGATTTGCAGCTTTAACACTATTTATTTTACAAATTTGAACTATTTTGCGTTTAATTAATTCTATTTTGTAGATTAATCAATATAATGACATAAATATAACAATATTAAAATTACCTTTTTCAAAACCCACATAAGTTCTATTCACCGCACGTTTGAACCGATCGACTTCTAAGACCGGTTGTTGGTTACACTGTACATAGATTATGTAAATTGTGAGTATAATTAAATATGTTAACTTCATGATGATGACAATTTTTTAATAACTATGCTAAGAAGTACCTAAATGAAATATAATCCTAATCCTATCCTAATATAATTACAAATGGATTTTGCTAAAAACAATATTGTTCGTGTTATCATGTTTGAATAGTCCTGTATCACTAGTGATAGTTTCCATAGACTATAATCAAAGACATTCATAAGTTATCTAAAATACAAACTTTAATTTGTAGTGAAGTGTTTGATATACAGGCTTAAAATTTATCTGTATTTGACATTAATCTATATTTTAGTATTTTATTTAATTAATTTTAAAACTCTGATTATACTCATTATTAATTATATAATTATATCATGTTAATATTTAATATAATTTTTGTAATTTGCTGATAAAATAATAATGTTTTACGAGATTTTGTTGTTGGAATGTGCGATAAATTATCCGAAAAACACGCTTCACAACCCTTAACTGTTAAACAGTATAACGTGTATTTCAAACAAAATAGCCGTCAATTTACCATAATATTAAAGTTATAATAATTATAATTATTATGTTAGCAAATAATTTATTAAATTTTTAATTCATTACAAATTTTTTACTAACAAAAGCAAGAAAAATTGACAAAACATAACAAACAGGGTTAAAATTAAACACCGAATTTGAGCTCGATACTTTAATGTCCACGTATTTGTGACTAATTTTATCCTCATCAACAGTGACCACTCGGTAGCCAGAGTTGGCATTTTGTTGAGGGGGTGGCGATTGGGCGCCAATAGCCGACGTCACTATGAGCTCCATGTTTTCATATCGGCCGCCGGCGTTGCGGTGATAATGACCGGCGAATATGGCCCGCACTCCGGCCGCGTGAAATTTTTTCACCATCCTGTGTCGAGTCACACTCTCGATGTTATACTAGATGCAAATTGAAATATGTAATTAAGGATTTGACATTTAAATATAATTTATATATTTACAATTACAGTCAGTTTTACATATTAAATTTTAAAATAATTGTATTAAATCTAAATGTTAATTATTAATCTTGTGATAGCCGAATAAAATCATAAATTAAAAACTGTGACATTTTTTGTATGATAATTAACCTTCATTAACTTATTAATAAATAAAATAAGCAAGGATACACTTAATATAATATTTTAATCACCATTTCATCCAACGGTTCGTTGATATCATTCAGAAACCATGGGATGTGTTGAAAGACAATCACGTGCTTATAATTGCCGGCTTTGGCCTCCAGGAGCTGTTTATCAAACCATTGATCATGCTCCTTATATAGATCGGGCGCATTTGTATGATCCTTATAAAACTGGACATTGATTACAATAAACATACAGCCGTCGACCCAGAAGGTGAAATAGTCGTCACCGAATTGGTTCTTATAGGCCGTCACCGACTCTACGGTCGGACTGTTCAGTAAGTCGTGATTTCCTCCTTAAAAGTGTAAGAATTTTATTCATGACAGAGAGAGAGAGAGAGAGAGAGAGAGT